CCCGGCCCCTTGTTTTAAATGAAGTGAGATTTGCTTTGTCGGTGTTCAAGTGAGATCTCATAGGAATGCTGTATTAGTCCTTGAAACTTTTATAGCAGTACATGCCGTGTACGACAGCGTTGATAACGACTCAGTGTTTCATCAAAGACTGATGTTGAGATGCTTTACGTTTAAGTAGGATTAAAGAGAGCTGCAGAGAGAAAGCTACAGATTCACGTTCTGTGAGAAAACATAAATAATATGGTCATTGCTGAATTCCGGCTTTAAAAGTCTTATGAAACTTCTGGATGAATATAATGCTGACTTCTGACCTAAAAACTGCCGGTTTTGCTGTGGGCACTGAGCGATGTCCAGTATGAAACAGCCACCCCACTTCGTAATTAGAGCTGACTGTCAGTAGTGGGTGAAGTGATTCCTTTATGTTTCTAAGGTACTTTTGAGGTTCTCTGGAATGAAAGGTGCTATGTGCATGTTTCTTGATTACGTGAGCCTGTTTGCCCTACCTTTACTTTTTCCATGTTTCTCCAGCAGATTAGTTCCTGAAATGTAGGTAATGCTTATCTGTTTTTCTTGCCTGACTTCCTCGGACCACTTCAATTTTTCTGGTTTATACTATGGTGCATCTTCGGTGTTGATTCTTCTCTCATTTTGCTTTGTCCTTTCAAGGCAAGCTTTTTTTTTTTTTTTTTTTTTTTTTTTTTTGCTGCTTGCTTGTTGGCTGCAGCACTGATGTGTAGTAATAAACTCAGACCCAGTATTGTAGCCTGTATCTGTCCAATTGTTACTTTCTTGCTATCTGATATTGTGCCTTTTTTGCCTACTTTATGAATAGACTTCTGATACTCTAGTCAAGAATGTTCTCTTCTATATTTTCTGTGTATCTACGCATATAAATAATTAATTTTTCAAATCTGGTTTATTTATTGAGCTTATGGGTTCTTAGTTCTTTCCTGAATCCTTCCATAAATAGAGTAAATAGAGGATCTGGTGAACTTTCTTCAGCATCTAAGTACTTTTAGTTTTGACTTGACTAATTTCCCTGCTGGTCACTTTATTTGCTGCTTGCTACCTTCTCCCTCCAGAAATGAGAACAGTGAGGTGATGCTATGATCTGTGATGAAACTTCAACCTGGGAAAATAAGTTATTTTTTTTTGACTAAGTAACTATAATATATCTAAGAATATGAATAGACCTTGGAGCAGGATGGTAATGTTAAAGATGCATGTGTTTCTTCCTTTAGTGGGAAAATTTTTAAAACTAGAAAAAAAAATCAGCATTTACCACGCAAGCACTGAATTTCTGTGATGAAGCTGTAAACGCCATTCCATCCTCGCGTTTGCCTCAGGACATTGTAGGCAGTTAGTTATGTAGACAGCTTTAGAGAAGTACATGGTACATCTGAGAGGTCGTGTGGCTGGCTATCCAGTCTACTATTTGCACAGAACGAAGTAATGTGGAGGTTAAGATTCAACTTGAAATTTAAGTTTACCGCTCCATTGGGAATGTTTACTTTAGAATCTAATTTTCGTTATATCCATGATTGATCTGCAATTATAAAAGTAAGCAGCAAAAGCCTGGCTGTAGCTACTTGTGGTAGTGCCTTTCATCTTGAAATTTCGAACTGCTTTATACACACGAATCTAACAGGAATAAACAAGGCCCAGTTGCCCACAGTTGTCCAAGACTTGCTCACTGTTGCACGTTTAAATCAATGCCATGCCTTGAAACACAGTTCAGAAGTCCTGGCTTCTTGTTTTCTAAATCCTGTGAAATACAGTGACTATTAAGATTGTAAGGAGAAAATATATGTATAAAATAGACATACTTAATTTCTGACTGGGATTTTAGGAGCAGAGAAATATTGCTAACCAATATACCAGTTGAATATTAGCTTAATACAAATCAGCAGTTTGCAACTGCAGTTCAAGTAAACTAAATTTAGAATAGGTGGAATAAAAGTTGAAAAAAAGAGATTGAAAATGTCTATTCTGCACGTACCTTCATTTCATGAAGGATTAATACTGAAACCTACCACCAAACTACTTTTACTTGACTCTTGACTTTCCTTAATCTGGATTCGTATATTATTAAAAATAAATATATTTGTGGATGTGTTTTCATGTTAGGGATTAAACCTCAGCAAATACTGCCAAAACACTGAAACCCAAAGTAGTATTTGATACTGTGTTTAATTTACTGATTTTGCATTCTCTGAATAGTAAAACCTCTTGCATTATCTTGATCGGAATTTTTTATAGAATATATCTCAATTGCCCACACATACTCAATCAGAAAAACGCGCGTGTGTTTTTTTTTTTTTTTAACTCGGGAAGCACAGTCAGTATTATGTGATTATGCCTAATAGATCACAGCTAAAATAATGTAAGCAGAGTGTCAACAGCAAGCTAATTGTATGCGCTTCTAAAGAAATAATTACTGAATGGCTGTGTAGTGAAGGAACTTAACTGCTTGCGAGTACTGCAGGACTTGAAAGAAGTTCAGTTTATTAGGCTCTCTGTTAACTACACTTGCTCAGTTCTGCATGGCAAACTCAAGGTTTGCTGTGGTAAAACTGTTTTGTTACTGAGGTTTTTAGAAGAGTGTCATCTTTCATACCACAGGTTAATAGTAGTTTTTTTTAAAATCTTCAACAAAATTATCCTTCCTGTCCAAATTCAAGAAACAAACAAGACAAAACAAAACCCTGCACACTGCACATCCGTAGGGCTATTAAGATCTACCGTATCTACATAGGACAGAAGATAAGATTATTGGACTGACTACTAGTCCTCTGCGGGGAAACAAGACTACTATTCCTCAGTGGATCTACGTGTGCATCGGAGATACCTATAAGGCACAAAAAGAAGACTTTTTAACAAGGTTAGTTAGAGTGCAATCTACCTGCGGAGTTTAAAAAAAACCAAAAACTGAGGGCAGACAGATACTACTACTACTAGTTCTGCAGTTAGCTTTTTGACATCGCTGCGTGCTATGTCCAAGCACTATGCGCTGGATGTGCTGCTTCTGATGAAACCTCAGTATTAGTTTTCTTTAGGCAGTTGCCCTGATTCCTGTTTGGGGGCTTCACTCCTCCCTCTGCTGGTCTGTATTAAAACAATAAAGTTGGGATGTTGGCTTCTCTTTTTGAAGCTTAATTTCTGCTTTCTGTCTTCTAAAGTATAGAAGCGTGTTACGCCAGTTTAGGTGATGTGTTATTTAAAATAGCTTTTTCAGAGTGTTTGGTTTGTGTGGTTCTGTTTTGGGGTTTTTCTCTTTTTTTCCCCAGATAGCAGGGAATAATCAGAGAAAGAGTG